AAGGTAATAAGACTACTTATCACTCTCAAGGGCCAGGGTGGCATTTCTAGTATTCTGACACCAGTGTCACCCTAACCCTATATCCAACCACCCTCAGAAGATCTGGCTAGTCTCTTTTCCCAGTGTAAGTGGCTCTGGTAATGGCTATAGGTCTCTATGGCATAGGGTTGAGGGGTGATTTATTCTATATACTTGCTGGATGTCACAGTGTCCTTCTTCAGGTCTTTGCTGTAGTCATTGGGTTCTGGATCTGAGACTGGGCCAGGGTCATGATTTTCCATCACAGCTTCCAGATCTCCATTCTTGATCATTTCCGGCTATAGAAGTCAAATGATACTGTTGTCGTCCTATTTTTTCCTGACCGTTTTTCTCTAGGTTGTCAACAATTACCTAGAACCCTCTGAGCTGAGAAGCCCTGGATGTCACTCTGATTTGCTGCCCATTGGATACACCTGGCTTTCCCTGGTGAAGTGCACTCTAGGATGGTCTCATCCCTGTTGAGGCTGTGGCTTTCAGCACGATAGTAATACCTCTCCATCAATCCTGGCCTTCTCAGCCATGCCAAAGCCTCCCTCTTCATGTGTTCTTTATTGCCTTAGGAAGCAAGAGCCCTTTGGCCATTCAGGGTAACATGGCCAGGAGGTGGATCCGTAGAAAGTGAATGGATTCCACAAGTGCCCCTCGCCAAGTCTCCTGCTTCTTTCCGAGTTTGCTGCCAAGACAGTTCCAATATCTCTGCTGCATTCCCACTAGACCAGGGGTCAGCAAACTTGTCTGTAAAGGTCCAGACAGTCAAAATGTTAGGTTTCTGGACCATACAATCTCTGTCACAACCACTCAGATTGTTGTAACAAAGGATCATGTATTCATTTAATAATGAAACTAGGTTTATTTTGTAAAATGGGGCATTGTTTCACTGGAATTTATAAGCCAAAGTAGAGAGAAAAGAACATCTTATAAGTGGGCTGCGCAACCTTATAACTTAGAATGTGTGTAAGAAAAGAAGTATACTTTATATGAATGTATGTTAAAAAAAAATACCAGCATACCCTATGTTGATGCTCCCGCCAATATATTCTATTTGGTACATTTTTCAAATTCCCCAAGTACATTCTAAAAGTGATGCGTCCTAGTCTTTGTTCACACCAAATGGACAAGTTGAAAATCATGTAGTTGAAATGGTGAACTCATTCTGAGTGAACTAACTCCTGAATACAACAAATATCCTGTAGTTAAATCATATTGATCAAATTTTGATGCTTTTCAAGCTGTTTTTGTGTTCACAGCCAGTGTTCACTGCTGTTCTTGTTAGATGTCACTGAGTGATTTTGACTCATACAGCGACCTCATAGCAGCAGCACAGAAATATATCCAAAGCATCTGAGCTAGGGGAAAGCTTTTTGAATTGGTGATACATATCAAAATACAAATTCAGAGATTTAAAAACATTCTGCTTTAAAAGTAAAAAAAAAAAACCAATATGCATGCCATGTTTAGCTACCAGTAGAGTTAATAAATTTTCTAATTCACTGATTTTCTAACCTACATAAGATAATTCTCCTGTTTAACAGACAGCTTTGGGTAGCATTTTTAAGTCCTTGATATTCTGTAGGTTGGTATTTCCAAAGTGTGGTCCACATTGTGATATGGTTTTTCACTTAAAAAAATACAATTACATCATCA